AAGAAGGGGAAAAAATAAACCTCCAAAATCCATCACGATGGCTACATAGGTTTGAGAAAAGTAATATCATAAAAATGGCTTTTTGATTCTTCTAAAGATGACAATATTTAAATAGATAAACATTGCTGTAGATTATTTACAACAGCATATCTGAAGCCAATCATGCAAATTTTCCTTTCTACATAAAAATTAGTGCAGACTTACAAACTGAAAGGGGCTTTATCATTCATTTAGTATGGCACTACCCAACTGCTAATTGCAGGTTTTAAAACTTAATAAATAAAAATTCTTTCCAAACAAAATTAAGCTACATGAGTCTATAGAAAACGTCTTCGTGTCCTGGATGATCACAAAAGACTGAGAAAACTGCTAGCCATTCATAATAAAATTGTTTTAGTCAAGGTTGGGTTTTTTTTAAATTAAAGGTTAGAATTAGTATGAGGGTACACAGTAACCATCTCATGAAACCATTTGTATGGGCATCTAGTTACAGTTTGTTAATTCTATTTAATTGCTTCTAAGAGGCTAAGAAGACATATAACATCTAGTATTTCCTCTTTTAGGGATGAAAGTTATCATCAAAAGGGTCTCAAAGCAAGACGGAAGTAGTACAGATCAGCACTCTGGTTTTCAGTATGAACAACTTCTCAAGCTATCATGGGGTGTTAACAGCAGCTCTAGTGGGATGAAAACCCGTTTAGCTAAGCAGTATTGTTACATACTTGTAGAAAATAAGGGCAAGAGGCTCTGGGCATGCACACTGCTAGCTAATAAGAGCTGCTGTTTCAGAACAAAGTGCAACGACACTAGACACATTTCACAAGGAGGACCAAGAACTAAAGCCAATTCAATTGCTTAATTTCAACATTTGAGAATCTTCTAGATAAGTGAAATGGTTGACTAGACAGCTGACTCTAGAGAGTGAGGAGAATTAGATCACTAAGCAATTATATGTTCTTTCGTCATCTTCCCCTAGTAAGAATAACTTTGAGATATTGCTGGTTTATAACCAGCAACTATTTGCTGAAATTGAAAGGCAAGTGAAAGTTTATTACGCAAGAAGCTCCGAGGGTTGCTGAACATATTCAAGAAAAGTGGAAGACAGGCCTGCTCACGGACGATGCAGCAATACTGATCATAAAGACACATTTCGATGGGATACAAGTAACATTGGTAGCAAGAAATCTGACCATTGCAAAACTGGTATATCGGGTATGCTAAAGTTCAGTAGCATTCACTACTGGAATCTAGTAAACATACCCTAATATAAGAAAATCCTGTTTAAGGCATATTAAATATTCTGGAAAAAAAATAATTCCAGCTCCAGCCTTCAAAGAAATCTCCTGTATCACTCCCCCAGTTTATTCTCATGTGGTACACTGCTGGTAACCAAAACATTTAAGCAGAAAAGATTTCACCACCTGCAGAAAAACTTTTAAGAAAAAAAACGACAGACTTTCAGTCACCAACTGCAAGAACAGGCAATACTTGTGTGCTAAGAGTGTTCATCCTAGCTCAGATCAAAGTCCATCTCCCCTTCCACTGGTGGCCAAAAGCAGATGTGCAGGGAAGAGTGGATGAACACACCAACTCCTATTTGCAATCAAAATGAATCAGACACTACCAGCCACCAAGGCAAAAGTCTCAGAAGTACGGCCCCAAGCAGAATGCACCGTATACGCTTCTAAATGCATTTGCAAACTCTTATAAAGTTTTGGAAATATCCAAATCAAAAGATTTTTCCTGGTGAACTCTCACAACAGTCAGTATAGTATTTCTATTTTTCTCTTAAAGATACCAACTCCATGAAATTCCACAGCTACTGTCCCACTGATAGAACGTAAAAACCACAAAGATTTATGGCAATGCTGTTTGGGTACCTGAAAAACAGCCATGTCATTTCAGGTCTCTCCCCCAATAAAAAACTAACGAGATCTTAAACCAGTTCCACTACACAGAAAAAACTTTTTTTTTTTTTTAATATATAAAATATAACAACCAAAATACAATCAATCCCATGTTTATAAAGCCTGAAGTACCAGCAAAAGGAAAAGTCACTGAATGTCAAGGACCAATAAAGCAAGTAATGCAAGGGGACAAGAGCTGTTGAGCAAAGAGCAGCCTTGCACAGTCAGTTTCTGTGGCCGTCATTTTCAGAGACTGAGATCATACTGAATTCCTGTCTTTAAGCAGATGAAAGCGTGTGGAATCACAATTCAAAGACACATGCAGGTGTCCTGTATAGCTGCAGAGGTTTTTCGATGGTTTGTTTATGGTTGGCATAACCCACTTTGTTTTGTAGTGCTGAAAAGGAAGAGGAGCTAAATGTTAACATCTGTCCTCAGCGGATGCCGTCTTACTTTTCTCCTACAGTTTGTTTACAACTAATTGCTGAGTCACCAGGCAGCTGATCCATTTCCAAGGACTCTAAATCAAGTCCCAGAGATAAATTTCTTGATCACTATGAAAATTACATGGCCTGCAAGGCCACTGGCATATCTCCACTGGTTGGAATGTTGTGGCAGACCACCGCTGGAACTGAAGAGGTCGGTCCCAATCTGCTCAGAATTTCCATCAGCAGCACTGTGAGTTCAACTGCCTTCTTTGGAGGAACAGTAGTTAACACCAAAACAATCACAGGCATTTTGGCAACAAACAACTGTGCACTACATCAATTAACTCTTCAGTACTAGCTATATTAGAATATTTAAAAGATTCACAGGTGATCTAAATAAAAGCAAAACCAACTTACCACTACTGGCATATTTAATTCACTTCAAGAATGATCTTTGCAGTAGCTTTAATTAGCTTCCTGTAGCAGCTCTGAATAAAAGCCACAGGAATTTAAGAAACAAAAAAACCCCCAAACTTGTGAGCTGTTTTCCACCCTGCGTTTCTTTTCTATATCTCACTCTTCCCATATTTGGCTCTTAAGCAGCTGAAACAACTTCAGAAGTGACACACATCCATTCTGTATTTCACATTTCATGCAAGTGAAACACAAAAGTGCAACACAAACCATTACACTGAGGATATTTCACTGTAAAAATTTAATCAGTATACGATCAATGTACCAAAGCAATTGTTTGCTGCCATCCCTACCACTTTAATGATTATAGTTTTTAGAGGAGTACCGGAATCGGCCACCTGTTCTGAAGCATTATCATTCTGAATGCTGCACTACCATTTTGCATCACCCTAGGAAGACAAACCTCTTCTTCCTTCCCTTCAATCTACTCAAGTGATCTCCTGTCCTCTGGTTTAATGAGCTGCCGCTCACCTAAATACTCAAGAAAAATCAGAATTTTTGCTTATCATCTACAGCCTAATACGTCCAATGTGGTCATTATGGCTGTGATATATTTCTTAATAATTACTACTGCAATAGCCTAAAAAAAGCTTCCAGAGTTTAAATATAGGTTTAAAAAGTCACATAGTAGTTGCATCCAGAGTATTTTAGAACCTCACGTGTAATGCAACTGTAATGTATAATTATACTAGAGCAACAGATAATTTGGTTCTTAGGTACAATTATGTAGGCATCCTTAGAATAGGATGTAAAATGACAGCTGTGTCATCAAACTTATTAAAGGAGGCATTTATTCGGGTATGAGGAAAACACCAGGACGCACAACACACAGGCACAATAGTTAACTATGTTAGTTGCCTTGTCCTGACAACAGTTTGATGCAAGTATGCTACTTCTATCCACACTATGCTGAGGAAGCATAGAATACATTGGCAAAGGGGCTTCAAACAGCACTTCCTATCAGCATTTGGAAGCCTGCAGCATTTGTAAGCATTATTATTTGTTACACAGCAGTCAATGACAAAGAGAAGGCTGCTAGTTTTTAAAAAGTGGCAAGCAAATGAAAGAGGAATGGAAGAGTCCACAGAAGCAACCTGAGGCATAAAAAAGTATAGTGCCTGCTGTGAATTAAAAGGAAAGAGCCAGGGCTTGTTAAATTTTCCTTTGACAGCATGTCTTGACACAGTTTGCCACAGCAGCCCCAGCCGGGGCTGGAAAGGGCATCCCTGCGGCCTGAGCTGTAGGTACCTGCCAGCAGTGGTCACGGCCTCGCCCCAGAACTGCGGGATGGCGTGTGGCACCTCTGAGGGCCTCCCTGCTGTGGGGACGCAACGAAGGGGCGCTACCCAGGTGCAAGTTTCGCAGTGACGGCGCCTCCTCCTTCTTCTTTTCCTTCTTCTTCTTCCCCCCCTCTCCCCTCCCTCCCCGGCTCGGATGCCGCAGCCAGGGGCGTGACACAGTCCGCGCTGCCCCGCCGGGCCCAACCGGCGGCTCTCAGGCTGCCGGGCCCGAAGCCGGCGGGCGCGGAACCGCCGAGAGGCCGCGGGCGGGGCCCAAGCGCAGGGGCGGGGGGGGGGGGAGCCGCCTCTCCGCGCCGAGCCACCACGTCGACGACGCCAGCACTGCGGAAATGGGAGCGGGGAGCCGGGCCCCGCTCCGCCCGCCCGCTGCCCCCCCCCCCACCCCGCCGCCTCGGCGGCCTCGCCTCCCCGCCCCCGCCGCTCACCTGTGTCCCCGATGATGATGTACTTGAAGAGATACGCGTAGGCCATGGCCGCCCGCTGCCCGGAGCCTCCCCCGGCTCTCGCTCGCTCGCTCGCTCCTTCGGTGGCGCGCGCGCTCTCCCCCCCCGCCCCCGCTGTCAGGGATCGCGCTGCGGAGAGGTGGAAACGACGGTTAACGGCCGCCGGGGAGGCGGCGGCCCCCCTTCCCGCCGGGCGCCTCCGCGGGCACCGCTCGCTCAGCTCCCTCCTACCTCCGCCGGCGGCGGGCTCGCTCGGTCGCGGCTGCCCCTCAGCCGCCGCTCCCCGAGGCGCCGGGGAAGGCAGGACGCGGCGGCGGGAAGAGCGGGCGGCGAGAACAATAACAGGCGCCGAGCGGCCCCGGACCCCACTGGCGACGTCACGCACCCGCCCCCCCCGCCCCGCCCCCGACCCGGAAGTGCTGAGCTAGCCGCCGGCCCGGCGGGAGGAGGCCGCGCGCCGCGCGGGGGCGGGGCTCCGCCGCCGGCCCCGCCCCTCGCGGGCGTGGTAGGGGAGCTGAGGGGAGATGGCGGCTGCGGGTGAGGCGGGTGGCTGGCGCCGCCGGATCTCTCTCCCTTGCCAGCCCTGACGGGGGCCGGGCCCGCTGTTTTATCTTCGCTTTGGTGGGACGGATAACCGGCGAGGTGCGCCGGGGTGTCGTGGCGTGGCGGTGGGCGCGGTGGTCTCTCCCCCGCCGCGGTGAGGGGGGAGAGGGGCGGCAACCGGGGCCGAGTTCGGGCGCTGCTCTGCGCCCGCCCCGGGGCCGGGGGGCGCTGAGGTGCGAGGGTGAGGCAAAAGCCCAGCGCCGCGGGTTGAGGCGTTTGTGGTGTTGCTGGCCAAGGGGATCCAGGGGAAAAAAAAAAAGGCTGATGTAAGGCTGCGAAGCCAGCTGTGAGCTAGGGAAGCCTCTAACCATAAGCACTAGTGAGCAATTCTATATAAGCTTATTTTCATTGCTTATCAAACTTGAGTTGTGGCTTGGAAAGGTTTTGTTGTTTTTTGTGTTTGTTTTTTTGTTTTTGTTTTTTTTTTTTTTGTTGTGTTTTTTGTTTTTTTTTTTGTTGTTTTTTTTTTTTTCCATTTCTGCCTTCCCTCGTTGAACTGGAAGCAATGAGCCGGGAAGGAGGTTCACAGCTGCTGTTTTGGACTTTCTACTTAGAGCTCACATGGGACTAGTGAGTTGGAAGAAACTTGAAGGTCGTCCTTAGGCAAAGCTGCTTCACAAAGTGTCCTGTGTACCCAGGCCATCGGCTGTGAGCAGTCAAAGGTAGCTTGGCTCATGGGTCGGTTCCACGCCGAGGCTGCGTCAGGTACCAGGCGATGGTAAAGAGGTTGGGCACTCCCTCCGTTCGGGTGCTGAGGCTGGTGATGATGCTTTGGGGGTGCCCTTCAGCACAGCTCTTTGCTGACTGTGAGTTGGTGGGACTGTCGATGAGCCATCTGCATTTCCTTCATATGAACTCACAGGTTTGCCGTTCTGGCTGTACCAGCCTGATGGCTTGAACTTTATGGTCAACAACTTGGGCAACGTTGATTTATGCTACTTCTCACAGGTGTGCATCTAACTTGTAATAAACCCCTAGTAAAGCTGATTGTACTGAATCCTGTTTCCATATTTCATGGCCTGCAACCCAAAATTAAACTTTTTTTCATTTTTATTGTCCTCTTCTCTGTGGACATACAAAAAAAAAATGATTTCTTTAAAGAGAAAGGAACTCCTTTATATTTTATTAACTACCTTTTCCACGTGAAAAATTCACATTTTCCATGTTCCCTTGTCAGTTATTTTTCTCCTTTTTTTTTTTTTTTTTTTTTTTTCTTCCTCCGTGCTTCTCCCAGATTTGTAAAGTGTGGAGTCCAAAACAGCTGTTCTCATGTGTCTGTAACACCAGCCTCATCACCTCAAAACAGTCATATGAGTATCTCCAGTCTTGCTCCTCTCTGAATGTGATTTTTTTCCAACAGCATCTGAAATTTATTTTTCATCCTAGATCCCTATTCTAGACAGTACCCAAATATATCTATACATTTGGTATCTCCTTACTAAGCACTGTTTTTCCCTTTGCTAAATTTCAGTAATTTTAACCAGGGCCACTCAGTTTGTCAAATACATTTGATTTTTTTTCTTTTTATTCCATCTCAGCCACTTTGTTAATGAAAATATCATATAGGTCTTGCCTGGACAAGACAGAGCATTGGAAAGTGACGTGAAATTTCTCCTACTTTAAAACCTCTTTGCATATGGAAGAAAGACACTTCCCCATTCTTTATGTACAAGAAGTGAAGTTTCGATATAAATTTCTGTTAGTTAACAATTCTTATCCAGAATGAGTTTTCTCAGAAAAACAGGGGTTTGCCTTGTTTTCTATGAAAGTTAGGCTTCTTTTTTTTCACATTGCCGTGTGTGTAGGGGTCTGTCTCTACGTTCCCTCTCCTAATAATGATTGCCAAAGCAGTTATCTGGATGGAGTCGAGTCCCTTGGATGAAGGAAGAGCTGCAGCTGGGGTCAGCTCTTGAACCCAATAAAGAATTCACACTAAAACAAGTCTTCCTCAGTGCTCCCTCTACAGGTAAACCCTTCAGCTGGCGTTCGTGCTCTTCACCTGGGTTTGTGTGACCTCAGCCACAGGAAACAAAGCTGCAGAAAACCAGTAAGCAGGTCAGATCTCATCCAGTGTAAGAGGTTGCTGCTGGTAGAGATGGGGCAGCTCTGCCCCCACCAACCTGCTCTTGGACCCTCCCTTGTTCTGGCACTATCAGAGACATCTGGTGAATCAGGGAACAGGAGTGGCTAAGCTTTAATTTTTCCATATTAGCTTTCAGGCAAATTCATTCTGGATCCCACAGCCACACCAACAAATTAAAATGCTTTTGGCCACCTTGACAGATGGATCCCACCTCTGTCCTGCAGTCCTCACTCCTCAAAGTGGGTCCAGCAGTCGTGAAGACTGTAGCTTGTTCTGTTAGACCAGTGACTCGGACAGGTATTGACTCTCAGGATGAGCCCTCTCCTTCAGGTGCTTCTCCCATGGCTGGCAGGATGAAGGTGAACTGTGTGGGCTTCTGTGTCCTTCACCTTCTCCTCCAGAGCCCTGCTGCCACTCATAACATGTTCCAAGTCTCCCCTGGTCCTCTCAGGGATTCCTACATAATTGACCCACAAAGGGCATTACTTTGAGTGCTGGTCAAGCCTTGGAAATCTGTCCTCAACATCCCAGGGTAATAAGTTTTAGGTGTATTTGATGGGGACAGACTTTTTAATAGTGTCTGTAGTGATAGGACAAGGCTTAATGGTTTTAAACTAAAAGAAGAGATATTCAAACTAGGCATAAAGAAGAAATTTTTTACAATGAGGGTTGTGACAGACTGCCCAGAGAAGTGGTAGATGCCCCATCCCTGGGAACGTTCAATGCCAGGTTGGAAGGGGCTCTGAGGAATCTGGTCTGGTTGAAGATGTCCCTGCTTGTTGCAGGGAGGTTAGACTAGATGAGCTTTAAAGGCCCCTTCCAACACAAGCTATTCTATGATTCTGTTATTCGGTTTACCTCACTGATGGCGTTTGGTCTCTTGGTTTCCAAATTATGTGATCTCCTAGACTTCAGGTTTAACACGAGCAAAATTGGCCTGACGCGATTGAATTAAATCTGAGCAGAAAAGGGAATTCCCATTTTGTAAAAGTACAGATTGCTGACGGGGAGAAAATAAGACACTGCAGAATCTCTAGTGAAATGGAAGATATCTTTAACGCTATTGCTTAACCATCTAACAGCCTGCTGACGTGACTGACAGTTCGGAGAGAAGGCAGCCCTGCCTGTTTCTGCTCTGGCAGCCTGGTAAGTCGGACAGGTAACCACCTTGCAGGCTGCTCACGTGGCAGGGCTCTGTCCTGCTGGCTGCTTGGCTCGGGTCCGCAGCTGCACCGCGAACAGCCAGCCAGGCGGCCGGCGATGCTGGAGAAGCCTTACGTGTGCACATCTTCAGGGTATTTCAGTCACTTGTGATGCTACTGTTGGGACATTTATGGAATCGGTGTTTGGTAGAGGCAGGAATTTGTTGCTTATGCTACCCCATGGTAAATACAGGCTAATTTGCTGCTGGATAAGAGACTGTATTCCTAAATTATTGAGTGTTATCAGCTGTTCTGCAAATCTGAGATGCGTCCAACCAGAGGTTAATGTAAAATTGATTTTCCTTCAAGTTATGTTTAACATACATTTGTTTAAATGCTATTCAGAGGCATGTAAGTAAATAGGTATTGTAATTTTTTTTTAATTTTTATTTCTCACTTGTCTAAATTTCCATTTTCTAGAGAAATTAGTATCTTCTTTTGTTAAGCATAAATACTTTAATAGAAGGCTACCACGGACTCAGTTTCACTTACTAAAAAAATTATTAGCCAGCAGATATTAAAGAAGCAGTGGTTATTCAATATTGAAATATAATGCTTGCAGAGGGTTGCTTTGCTTTTGGTTTTTTGTTAATGTTCTCTTGAATAATACATGTATCTGTTGGTGATTTTATGTAACATGCTCTTGAGAAATATGATGAAATATTTCACTAAGATGACAGTATTTGGTTTTTATTCTGGCAAATTTGATACACTTGAGAAAACTAGAGTTTGCTCTTTTTTTCTGTGTCACTCAGCTTTTCCCTAAATTGCCATCAGTTATCACTGTGCAAACTCACTTGGGGTTTGTAGCAAACCTTTTGCAGGATCCTTACCACTGACAGTACTATGTAGGAAAGAGCCATGGAGTCATCCAAAGCTCTAGATACTCTGCAGAGCTAAGCATTAGACAGGAGTTTTTTGTGGAAACTAAAACACAAAATCAGAACCCTAGTGTAACCTTCGAATACAACCACACTTGAATTATCATTTGCGTTGTACTATCATGTAACTGTTAGAAGTCAATCTCCACCTGCTCTTCAGTTTAGCTTAAAAATTTTAAATCATTCCTTTGTGCTGTTAAATTACTTATACAGATGTTGAGTAGGAAATACTGTTTTCTGTTATCTGGCGTTTAGTCTGTCTGTATGTACTTTTTCTGAACATTAATTGTATGCTATAATTTATCTTATTTGTGAATTTAATAATTTTTAGAAGATTAGATTTTTATTTTATGTAAGTAACAAGGCAGTATATAGCATATTTTATTTGTTGTAAATGTTGAGAATGGAACCCCACCTTATGTGGAAGTATGCGAAACAGATCCTGCAGGAAGACAGTCAAATGTATATAAATCTCAATGAAGATCTGCCTTTGGAAAGAGAATTTCTAGGAGCCTCTTAAGCATAAAAAGTGAACAGCCCCATGTTAGGCATCCTAGTTTTCCCTTTACTTATAGAAGATCTAGGATATTTTGAGGTCTCATAAATTTAATCATAGTATCCCTTTTAGATGTTATTGATGTTAGGGACTATAGGGGCAGTATGGCCTATTGATAAATCCTCTGAAATTGTCACAAAATAACCATAATGTTAATGGCATAGAGAAAGATTTGTCACCTGATCAGTGTAGTACCTCCTCCTTCCAATCTAGAATTTTAAGGGTCTAATACTTTGGTTTTAGGTTCATAACATTTTTCCCTGTCCCAAACTTGTAAGCTGAAATAATGATAGAAGCTCATATAATGTCTTTGGTAAATACCACAGCATCAAGCAGTGGTATTTGCTAACTTTTTGTCTGTGGTGAAATTATTGGTATTTTACTTTCACGGTGGATTTTCACAACAACTACCCATGCTGAATTTTCAATTTTATTTTTAATGTGTCTTAGATGACATTTATTTATTAACTTTTCCTGCAAAATTGGCACATTATTAGTTAGATCTGTTTATCTTGTATGCTTAGATATGTCCTTGAGATGTGGGAACAGTTCCCACTTGCAGCCAGAGAGCTGCTGAAGTTGCTCGTTGTATTAACATTGAAATGTGCTTGTGCAATATTGCTGAAAGAAATTCTGAAATTCCCTTTAGGTTTCTGACCCACTCATTGCTGGTTGTGTCTTATGTGATGTGCTTCAACCCACACCCTGGACTTTATAGCCAAGTCCAGTGATGAAATTCTGTCTTTTCCTTCAGTTGCAGGGTTCGGGGATACTTGATCTTGGCAATCTGAGGTTCTCTTTTGTTGTTTGTGTTTGGTTTCATTTTGTGATGGGCATTTGGAAGCATCAGCAAGGGCTCAGATGTATTTGGTCTCTTTACCTCCTGCAGACAGAAATCCCTGTTCCCTCTTCAGGTCAATCTGACAGATTGTTGTATGTCTCGAATGGGCGATTTCATGCATACTGGCTTGCAGAGAAAGAAGGAAGCAAATTAGTCTTTCAACTCCCAGCCCTCTATCCCCTGGGCTTCGTAATAGGATTCTCACTTGTGGAGGTAGAATATAGGCTTGTTTTCCACTGCTTTTTAATCTTTACCTTTGAGAACGTTAACATGACTTAACATCTGAATGATGTAAACCTTTGCACTCAGACTGGTTTGCTAGGTATGTAATTAATGACATAGCAAAAACAGTAGAATCTCTACTATTATTGATGCTGTTTAGGCCCAGAATGTGGGAAGCAGCAGAGTCTGTATGTGTGGAGAACAATGGGAAGAGATGGAGCAGAGCAGCAGGTATCTGCTGGACTCTGGAAAGGGTGGTCAGGAGCAAAGAAGTGAAAATAGTTAGACGTTTCCACTCAGGTGTGAGGAGAGGGAGTGCAGGGAATAGAAAGAGTAGCAGTCTCTGGGCTGGGAGAAGTTGGGGACTGAAAGGAGGGAGGATGTGGGGCAATATGAGAAGAAATACCTCCAGTGAAAAGTTGGATAAAAGGACTGAAGACCAGGGGATTTGGGGGAAAAGAGGTGAGAAATTAAACTTTTGGAGTGGAGAAATGGGAAACCAGAGACTGGGCTTCTGAGTAGGGTGCCTAGGAATACATGCCTGTGAGGGATGTGTGATTTGGGTTCTGAGGGTCCTAGTCCAGGCAGCTTTGGCTACGATTTTGGCTAACAGCTGGAGCACAGAGGCCGTTTCCTCTTCTGTAGCCTCTACTTTGCTTTCAGAAATGCAGCAATTTTACTGACAATTTGTGTATTTTTTAAAAGACCCAAGCTAAGTTACATTGTTGCTTTTGACATGGTAGAAGAAAGTCTGGACACAAGTTTCTTTTTTTTAAAACCTTTATTTATAATAGTGTAGTATTTAACTAACAGCCTTAGCTAAATGCTGAAAATAAAAGTAATGCATTCTGAAAGATACCGTATTTCTCCAATCACTGTAGTTATTAAATATTTTATTCCAGCTAAACTACACTGATAAACATGTTTTGGGAATGAAAAATTCAGTTTTAATAGCATTTTTTTGTTTTCAAAACATAATCTTGAGACTACATTTTCAAGCCAGTGCAACAAAAAGTACAGTTATTCAGTTTCTCAGTTGTATTCATATTTTAGGATTTTGCACCCCTGGAAATATTTACATGACCTCCGCTTTATCCCTGTTTATTTACTAATGGCCTTTGCCACTGTTATCATTGCATCCTGTTTTTCCTTGCAAATAACCTTGTTTTTCGCTGCCTTGACGTAAAAATAAACAGTTTGATAAAACAGCACATGATAAATTTTAATACACTTTTCCCATAAAAACTGTGAAAACAAAAGGATCCTGGAAATAACCTTGAAATAGCTTTAACCAACTGAAAAGAGGTGTTGATGTTTTGCTTTTTTTTTTTTTTTTTCTCAGCAGCGTTAGAAAATGTGTGCTTGTATAACAAGAATCACAAAAGCATTGAGTATTAGTGCCACACTGGCAAGTTAAGAGATCCATGCAGAAGTCTACTTAAACTGACATTAAGGCAAATTTTCAAGATTTTTTTTACTTCAGTTGCAGAGTTTTTCTTAATTTTCTTTAGATCTCTTTTTAAAATAGTGTTGGCAATGATGGTTTGATAACAAGAAAGTGGAAGGTAAATAAAGTTACTGCACAGGCTCGCAGGAAGTGAAATTGTGAAAACTTCCTTTTTACTCATAGCAAGAAGTGAGACAACTTTAAGGTAACTGGTCTGCTTAAAAGGGAATAGGAGTAGGCAAGCCTGATCACATTTTTTTTTCAAATTGAAAATATTTTGGTCTGCAAGGATTAAAAAGAAGCTGTTTTAAAAGATAAATATTTTTTTTCCCCCTCTTCCAATAGGACTGATTTTTTTTTTTTTTTTTTTTTCCAGACACCGCCACTGGTGTCTTTTGGTGGCTGCAGAAAGTAAGAAACTATCTAAGACTCTGGAAGTCAGAAGAGTTGCTAAAGGATTTGAATTGATGAAATCTTAGGGCCAGTGTCACAGAAATTATCTTTGTCCACGAAGATATTAGCAGATAACCTACCATTTTTGTTTAAAAGGTATAATAGCAATGTCTGGTAATTCTAATAAAAACGCTTGTTGCAAAACCATAGGTAAAATAATGTTAAAAGGTTTTTAAGTTCCTATTGAAATTATTGTTCCTTTTCTTCCCCAGAGAAGTCTGTCTTTTGCCTGTGACTATAATGGATGCCTCGTCCTCCCTGTCCTTATCTCGATACGGAGCCTTTTGCTATATTTTCTCCTCCCCATCCCTGAGGGGAAAGGGGTGAGTGACCAGTTTCCTGGTGCTCGGTTGCCCTCTGGTCTTAAACCACGACAGACAGCCATAAAATTCTGCCAACTTTCCTAGAAAGGTATGGTAGCACTAATTTAATTCGCGTGAGTTAGACTAAGTAGAGGTCAACATATTTGTGTCCTGATGACTCAAAGCAAGGTATTAAAACAGTTCCCTCAAGTGAAAGCAATGAAAATGTGTAGTTCCTCTAGTATAATGTCAGTTGAAGCAAAGAGAAAACATGAAGAAAAGCTTATATTATAATATTTATGTCCAACGAAAATGGAGGAGATGATGCGATATCCAGTTTAGGTAGTGCAATGTCATATATAAAATAAACAACTGTTCTGGAAAAAATATGTTGATTAGAGTAGACACTGAAAGGAAGGAGAGAAGAGAAAGGAAAGGAAAATATATGTACAGATCAATTCTACAAATGGTCTGGTTTCCAAAACAAAGGGGCCATACAGAGATTCATAGGCTTGTTAACATTTCCCAGTAAATTCATCCCTAATTTGCCTGAATTAAGCCTGCTTCTCTTTCCACTTTTACTGGACAGAAAAATTGTAATTGGAACCTTTTAGAGCATGAATGGGATGGGTTTGCTGAATATTCCATCCACTCTGTGGCTTATTCTTTCAGGTTTCCTCTTAATTAATGAGTTAAATTTTCTGCCAGTAATTCGCATTTAAATTGCGAAAAAAAAATACTGAAACTTTCATTGTACTTTCTTACATGAAATCTTTGCTGTAATGGCAACAGACATATTTATCCTGTTTTACATAAGTCCATTTGGAACATAGAATTGTCTTATTGTTTGGAATAGTTCAGTAGTTCAGCTTTACAAGTGCTGAGTTTACGAGTGTCTCTTAAAACCTGCAAACATTTTATCCTACACCTCAGATAAAGATCACATAGGTTTAAATGCCATACTTGTAGTAAGCAGATATTTGACCTTATGTTCTGAGGTGAGTAAATTCCATGAATTTTTGTATATATAAGTTGGGCTCTGCCTTTTCTACCAAAGAGAATTAGAGAGGTCTGGCTGATGCTTAGTAATGTATGTGATCTAGCTGAGTTTTAGAGAAAAGCAGACTTGAGCTGTCAAATCAACCCGTAAGAAATTGTACTTTGCTGAGCCTTGTTTTAAAGTAATTACCTTGGTCAGAACTGAAATTCTGTTAATTCTGTCTATGGAATGAGAAAAAACAAAATTACAGATCTCACTCTCATGAGTGGAGTTCTGTGAGGGGAAAAATATATTACCTATTATATGTTTATTTGTAGCAAATTACTATTGATAAACAGAAATTATATAAATCCAAAGAAAGCTGTGACTCAGTGTATATGCTGGTTTATATTTGGGATAAAAGTGAAACGAAATGATGTGCTAGAGAAGATACAAAGCACTTTTGACTGAAGTATGCCAGAGACTGGAAGATGTAGAAGACTTATCTTGATGCCATTAAAACACTTTACAAATGTGCATGTTGTATATTGGGAATAGATGGGAATAATAACATTATTTCAGAAGTTTAGTATCTTTAAAATTGACACAGAGAGATACTCATTGTTCCCCAAACCTGCTTCAAATTATATGCATGAAACACTAGTGTTACTGTTAAAACAGAAATCATGCTTTCCAGGAAATAAATATAGCTGTCTGCAGTAAAGGATCCCTGACATAATTTTGTCATGTTCTTTATTTATGAGAAAATCTTTTATTCTGTCAGAAAAAAATATACATTCCTTATCCCTCTCCTTTGAAAATACCCAGTTAACTGCATCTGATATTTCTTTGTATCCTGTCTCTAATTTTCAATTCTATTTAAGAACAAGCATTTTGAGTATTAAACTAATACTCCTTACAAACTGTTGCCTCTTATTGGAGGAAACAGTAGGTGGTGAAATAAAGATAAACTTAATGTCATGGAGAATACATTGCAGAAAACAAGAAGCACGTTGTGAATGGAAAAACCTTAAAAAGTAACCAAGGATCATCAGCCTGAGGACTTCAGATTTCAGTTACAGCTGGTGAGCTTGGATCAGAGTGTATTTAACATGTCTTGAAGGTAGACTACTAAGAATCTGAATCCATTAAAGTAAATCAGGTAAGCCCCTGGCAAATTTCCCCAGGTACTGAAACAAGACCAGATTTTAGACTTGAGTTGAACAGTTTAAATCCTTTGTCAAATAACAGTCTTTGGATCTGACTATGACTAGGGCACCACTGTTGAAAGGCAGACAGTATGAGGGCAGACATAATCCCTCATCAGAGAAGGCTACCTTGTGGAAGCGTCGGAGGGAAGGGGAAATGAGTGCTCCAAAGCCTACTCCCAGCGGTGGAACAAGGTCAGTGAGAGTTTCTTGGTCCTTTTTCCTCAAGACAGAATTGTAGAAGGGAAACGGAAGCTTGGTTCAGTACTTCCATTACAACTGAGAAGCACAGAATAAGAAAGGAAGGACACCTTAAGGACCATTTAAGTTTGTAAGATATTGCAAACCTATGAAAAAAAGCCTTTTTCTGGAGAGTTGCTTGTAATCACAGGAAAGAGGAGCTACTGGAATCAATGTCACGGTCCATTCTAGTAGTCTTCCTCTAAGTAGCAGGCTTTGCCAAGATTTGAAGTATGGAAAACATACTTCAGTGAATAATTTAACTGCATGGATTGCGGTGGCATGCAAACGTTTCATAGAGCTCTGGGAAGGTTAAGAATACGCTGTGGAGTAGTTTACATGATAGCAGCCTCTGTTAAGAAACAAAGGAAAGAAACCACTTGCATTTTACTAATAGCTTCTTTTTTAACTGGACTGAATTTACCCTCAAAACTTCACAGATCCTGAAGGTTTATACATTGTCTGTAAAGACAGAACCATAGATTCTGAGTGTTGGAACAGTCAACCATTCAGAGCAGCATAACAAGTCCCCGAAGATGCATTTCGGCTCATCTACTTTTCCTGGTGTGTTAAGTGATACTGAAGCTTTAAAGGAGTAATTGCTGAGAGATTAAATAGCGAGAAATCTGTCTGTGAACATTAAGGGGAGAAAAAAACAGCCTTGGCTTTGCATATACTAAGCAGCGGTGTCTGTCTCGCAACTAACAGCCTGTTCTAAGTATTGTTTTTTCAATTTGCAGTGTCTTCTATTTTCAGTTAAATAATTTTCAAAATTGTGTGTGTAGAAGCACACATACACTCCCATAGTTATACTGCCAGGAATTTGAATTAAAAGAGATGAGAAATAGACAGTTTACTTTTATGTAACTAACTCAGGGCTAAGAAGTGCAACTCCAAGTCCCCTGAGGAAGCCTCAATGTTTGAGAGGATAGTATGTATGGATAATAGCTACATAAAATCTTTCCAGGCTTTGCTTCTGTAAATAGCAGCTATAGAAACCCCTGGAGTTTAGACTTCAGTGGAACTTATTCCTGCTTTACTGTAATTATTTCATTACCAATGAAAGTTATCTGAATAACATGATTTGCTTCTAAAATCTAAATGCACTGCAGTTGTTTCCTACAAGCTACCATTTCAGTCTTTGCATGCTCTTGCTAGCTGCAGAAAAAAACTCTGAGATAACCATTAAAAACCTCCACAACACTACTACAGGTAAATAACCGTGGTGGTTTGATACTTCAGAACATAGAACTTCTTTCCCCAAACCATGATCTACAGTTAACATTGTCAGTACCCCAGATATTAAATCTGAAAGCTGAAACTGTTGATGTTGCATTTGGCACAAGATTGGCTTTTCGTTGTTTCCATGGGCCAACACTGACTGCTGACCACTGATTTTAAGGAGCCATCTGTTTGTGTCTTCCTCCCCAAATGCACAGAAATTACCAAGGTTGTCTTGGTGCAGTTCCCTTGATAAATACAAGGATTGATACATATTTCAGAACAATGACATTTAATCTTCAGGTTAATTTAATTTAGTCATACATGTTGACAGTTATTTTGAAGTACACTGTTTTGACATTGTGTTTCTTCTAGGTATTTGGAGAGTTTGCTTTGACTCACTTGGAAGAAACCTTGAGGAAGGTCAGCAGTCATGACTGAAACATCACTTTCTTGAGTGACTGTCAAAATAAACAATTTAGGCTAGCATAGGTTATTGAAGTCAGTGTTTCTTTTTGCAATATTCTCTGTTAAGTGAAAGGCCTACATTACAAAATTTACTTTTATTGTACACAAAGAAATTTCAAGGTCACTTTTACCATCTCCTCAGTCACATATTCCTTGTTAAACAATGTAGAAATAGCAAAGCTTATTACTGCCAGCTTCTCTCTCTCCAAAGCTCCACTTAAAAGTGAAAGTAGGATATTTTTAGGATGGAGAGTTTAAGTTTGCTTAGGCCATATCATGGAAAGTTGGCTTAAGAACTGGGACATCAGCTTGTGCCTTGGATTTACTGCTCTGCCACAGATTTGCTGTTGCCTTGGTAAAAATTATGGTTAGCACTTTCTTGCATTACTCAAGTATTATCATGATCGATAAAGACTGTAAAGCTCAGATAATGGCACAGTGACGGGGCCAATGCAAGTAGGTTAGATATGTAGTCAACTGAAACTGAATAGCTCAGTAGAAAGTCTGTTCTTCCGTAACCAGTTGTGTATGCAGAAGCCACCGCCATCTCCTGGGATTCCCTAGCTGGAATGACCAAGTCTCTCTTTACATTTGGGCCTGGTTTGTGGTGATGTTTTGACCATGGTTACATGACTGAAGATCATTTAGATCTTCAGTAAGACGTCTTACTGTATTGTTGTAGAAGGTTACCCCAGAGATAGATGGATGTTATGTTGCTTATAATCATATATGTAAATATTTTTTTATATTAAACATTCTCAGTGATTGGGTTTGTCTATATAAATATTCTCTATATATGAGATACAGCTATATTAGCAACTCTTTTCTGATCTTACTATGAAATATAACCAGGAGCTCTGTAACAGAACTGAATTGAGCCTTTCAATTAAAACAGTGATTAAGCTTATCCTCTCTAAAATTTTATCACTCTGGTAATACGTAATGAATTCCTAACAATGTCGAAGTAATTACTAAATATTTTGAGTTATTAAATTAATTTTCACCGAGAAATTTAGTGCACTGTGCCAGCCTTTTATCTAGAAAAAACATCTGTGCAAATTCTTCAGCTGACCAATTGCAGGGGGTAATTTTTAAATAAATTTATTTAGGGCTAGTGGTTGTTCTTCCTTTTCCATAATTGAGAGTTTCTTCTTCATTATTGGCTAAGAATAACAACTTTCATCAGGAAAGAAAAAAAAAAACCCAAGAATTGTTTGTTTCCAAAGCATATTTTTATTAATATAAGTATTATAACAGCCAAGATTTACTAAAGTGTTTTTAGATAAATCACATCAGAAGAAAAGCTGCTTGATTATGTTTGCATACAATCTAAATTCAGTACGAGGGTACCTGGCCATAATCAACTCAACCAGTATGTCATTTATTTGCCATAGTCTTTTTTAAATTCTATGTATTTTTATGACCAGATGTCTTATAATGAAAAAAGTTAGCAAAATCTAGATCTTCTGAGTGGTGAAATTTTTCCTCATGCAGACAACTTTAAATCAGGCAAATGTCTTTTTTTCTGTCAAGAGATTAGTAACTTCTAACCGAGATCCCTTCTCATCTCTTTGCCTATCTCCTTACTGCAAAACAATCACTTCCTGCAATTTGTTTAGCTTCTTGTAATTTTCTCATAATCAGAAACAATCTGGAGAAAGTATTTGTCTCTTCAATAGACAAATATCTTTTCCTCTTTTAATCTCTAAGTTGACTGGTTCTGCACTGAATTTCAGCCTTGAAGAGCTGAAGGCACAGGATAAGGACCTGCCATAACTGTAACTTCTGAAGGAATTTGTGTTGCAGAAGGTTACAGTGTTTGCCAGTTGCAGCCTAATTCAAAGGCAGGAAGTTCAGGTTTCATGAAGGAAAATAATTATTTCTTTTAGCTATAGTCAGTGGTCCACTACTAATTATTGTGTTTATCCTCCAAAATTTGATACAAGTCAGATCCCAGGGATGGATTAGCTGCAACTTGCAGTCATCTGGTTTAAAATTCTTTGATGTTTCCCAGTACAGGTCACTGTGTTGTTAGCATATATCATTTCCCTCCCTCCCTTCTTTCCCTTAGTGTTGTATGTATTGATACTTGAAAAAATTTCAGATATACTTCTGAAAGCAGATGAGGAAGTTTAACAACTTGCATCAATATTATGCCAATGAACTTCAGATCCTTTACAGAAGGATGAATTTCAGCCCAGTTTTGATCAAGCAAAGTGATTTTTTTGAAAGCTCACCAACTTCCAGATGCATTCAATGTTGTTATGATGGCTGCAACACTTTTCTTACACTCACCACATAGTCTTCAGTAATGGTATGACAGCAATAAGGCTATTCCACATGTAGAATTCATATCTCACCTTGAAGTTATACATGCTATTTTTATCCACTGTTGCAATCTTCATGTATATTTGCTCAAACAAATAGGATTTTTGTGCCTACAGAAGACTTCTTTGTTCAACTGTTAAGCCCTAATGGTAGGCTTTTTCTGGCTCTAAGAGTAGCAAGAATTACCTGTTGAAAGTCCTGGACTTGAGTCATCTGTTGTATACCAGTATGCTTTTCACCAGTTTCTCAGAGCCTGATTTTGGTATGCTTTGTCATTCTTACTTGTTTTCCTTGATCATTTGGTATGTTATGTAAGCCATTAGTAAGTCTTCTCTATAGGTTACTGGCCATATTTCTCACACACAGACTAGGGATCCAGTCTATACCTTCAAAGGTGTTCAAATACTTTCCTTTGAGTATTTTGTAAGCTATTTTCCTGTACATCTCCAATAAGTGCCTCACTGCTGATTCATTCAGATATTCTATGTGTTGGCTAATCCAAGACACACAGAATAGAACAGAATTTTGTATCTGTAAATTTACCAACAGCATTGTCTTTTTAAAATAATACCAATATAATATTCTAAAATACCTAGGTTAGTATGTTTTATTTTACCTTCTTGAGTCACTAAGCAGTAGCACTCTTCAAAAATATTGCTGCTAAATTTTCAGTAACCACGTCCACGAGTCCAACATGCCACGTTAGGAACTTTCCCTGGGGAGACAATTAATTCTCATTCCATTTCAGTCTGCCTAAATTATAGGAATGTAATGTTGTCCACAAGTGCCAGCCTGGTGAAGACCCTATTCCATGCTCTTAGCAAGGTCAATTTTGGTATCACGCTAGTGACCTGCAGCCATATTTCTTACTGTACTTTGCTGCACTATGGTTATAATTTCAGGAATATTGTAGCTATTGATCAAGCACCCAGTCCAGGTGGGGAGAAATAATGACTAACTCAGTAGCCTTTATGCTTAACTAAAATAAGATTTCCCTCGATTCTTTCTAATGTATTTATGTCTTCTGAGAGTCAGGCATGTTTTTTTATAAGTGTCCAAACTTTCCAGGGCAAATCCATAGAAAATCATCTGCCCGTGTGCTCCAGTGTCCCATAAAACCTCATCTTTTACTCTTATCTTTCCAACTAAATTAGTAATTCTAATTTATTCACAGTATTTTAGGTGAAAGTGTTTTCTGCTTTGTGTCTCTTTATTTGTTATTCTCTGCATGACATTTTGAATGATACTGCTCCGTAATCCTATATCTCAGCTGCTGGTCCCAAATACTACCTTTCACAGAATTAACAGCCTCCTTTTTCAATTATCCAGGATACTCTGGTCAAATCCCACTTTCATTATGATAATCCAAACGGGTTAAAGCTGACTTATCTGTCTGTTTACAGGGAGCTATGATTTTAAACTGTTTTATTTTACTTGTTCTGGGTTTGGTTGCTGACAGTTAACAGATTTTCCACTGCCGCATAGTTTCCTTTATGCTTTCTTGGAACAGTATGTCAATTTTAGTTTCTCATTATACTGTTTCTGAATTTTCCCTTCTCTTTTTTTTTTTTTCCCCGTGTTGTAGTTAATTTCCATTTTTCTAGCTCTTCTTTAAGTAATTTAATATTTGATTCTGTGAGAATGGATTTTTGCAGTAATTCTGTGCCATTTCCCTTCAAATAATACTCAAAGACTTCTCTGAAATATTCTTTCTTTAGCTGATGTAAGATTCCTATCCCAATGCAAAAAAAATCTTTCAAGTGTTCATTAGATTATACTGGTGAGTAACTAAATCTTCCACAGTAACTTCCCCTAGAGCAATCTGTAACAGGTAAATGAGACTCTTAACAGTTCAGCTTCTACTGCCAGGCCAGTTAAATGTTACAAGAGGCAACTTTAAAACTAGAGATCTGTTAACTTGAGGCATGTGAAACCCCTTGTACCGTAGCTTGCATGGGTACCTGTCTTGCCTCTTGAGTTTCCAAAAAAGCAAACAAAACACAGCTGCTACAGTGCTATGATTACTTTTTATCTCTTTCTTTGAGTTCCAATCCTGAATGTAATCGAATATTTATAAATAAAATTTGGCTTCCCCTTAGAAGTAGAATAGACTAGACTAGAATAGACTCCTTCAGTTGGAAGCAGCCTACAATGATTATCTAGTCCAACTGCCTGACCAATTCAGGACTGAACAAAAATTAAAGCACCTTGTTAAGGACATTGTTCAAATGCCTCTTAAACACTTACGGGCTTGGGGCATCAACCACCTCTCTAGGAAGCCTGTTCCAGTGTTTGACCACTCTTGGTAAAGAAATGTTTCCTAATGTCCAGTCTAAACCTCCCCTGGTGCAGCTTTGATCCGTTCTCATGTGTCCTATCACTGGATCCCAGGGAGAAGAGCTCAGCACCTCCCTCCCCACGTCCCCTCCTCGGGAAGCTGCAGAGAGCAATGAGGTTGTGCCTCAGCCTCCTCCTCTCCGAACTAGACAAGCCCAAAGTCCTTAGCAGCCTCTCACAGGACATGCCTTCCAGCCCTTCCACCAGCTTCGTTGCCCTCCTCGGGACATATTCAAGGACCTTCACATCCTTCTTAAATTGTGGGGCCCAGCACTGCACCCAGCACTCAAGGTAAGTCCGCACCAACGCTGAATACAGCGGGATAATCACTCTGTACCGGCTGGTCATGCTGTTTGGTGCCCCCCAGGGTGGGGTTTGCCTTCTGGGCACCCCCAGAGCCCTTTCGGCAGGGCTGTTCTCCAGCCACTCCCCTCCCAGTTTAGCCCTCTGCCCAGCGTTACTCTGTCCTAGGTGCAGAATCTGGCATTTCAACTTGTTAAATTTCATCCCATTAATCGCTGCCCGACACTCCAATCTATCTGAATCCCTCTGTAAGTCCTCTTGTCCCTCGAGAGGCAACAGCACCTCTCAGCTTGGTATCGTCAGCAAACTTGCTAATGGGGTGTTCAACTCTTGCATCCAGATCAATGATAAATATATATTGAACAGGACTGGCCCTAAAACTGAACCCTGAGGAACACCACTGGTGACCGATAGCCAACCCAGTGTAGCCCTATTCACTACAACACTTCGAGCTCTGCCCTTCAGCCAGTTCTTCACCCAGCATACCTCCCACAGTTGGACAGCTTGTCCAGAAGGATGCTGTGAGGACCTGTGCCTATCCCGTTAATCTCTCACGACAAAGGACTTCTAAAATACAATGGAATATTGGTCTTTCAAAAAACCTTGGTCTGCACCAATCGGCGCTCGACAATCTGAGCCTACTACCTTAGAGACATGTTCCAAAGACAGGGATCTAGAGGCACTCAGGACCAAAGGGCCAAATTAAGGACCAGTAGCTTGCTGAAACTGTAGTTCAGACACCGAAAATATAAATTAATTAGAAATTGCTCTCCAAATGCCATCCGTTTCCCGCTTGCTGCTTCCATGTACTATAAAGGCCACGTTTAAAAGGGAAGGGCTGAATCAGGCTTTGTGCTAGTTTCTGGAAAGATACCCAAGACTGCCTGGGTTATGTGGGGCAAAGTGACAGCAACAGTGACATCTGCAGAGCTAGTACCG